ATTGTTAGAATAATTTTTAAGTTTATAAATTAGCCTAGTATAAATATGGTGAGAAATTATAAGCCTAAAAAGGATACTAAGCTTCTAGAAAGCAAAAATAGTGAATTTCTTTTAATGATTGAAAATGAAAATTTCAGTGTGAGAGCTGCTGCCAGAGCTGTTGACATACCTTACTTAACTTTACACTCTCACTTAATGAAGTTACAAAATCCAGCAAAAGTAACCCATGTGGGAAATCTTTCTTATATTCCAGCAGAACATGAGAATGAGTTGGCTGCTTGGCTAAGATGTATCTCAGGGTGCAAAGATTTTGGAAAATTTACAGTGTTAATCTTTATTCTTGCTTTTTAAATAAATTGTTTTATTATCTGCTTAAACATATATTTTTGGTTTATTTGTTTGATCTTGATGTATTATTTGTTCATTACCATTGTATAATTATTTTTAAACACCCCCTTTACTATAAAAACTGCTGATCAGTAATTACTCCAGAAGTGATCAGGAATTACCCCAGAAATGGTCAAGAGAAGGGGTAATTCTTGATCACTAAAAATTTTAAATCTTTTAAATTCTAATTAAATTTTCAAAGAAAAGAAGGTAGCATAGGACTCATCTCATATAGCCTCAAACTTCCAGTAAATATTAAAATTCTATCTAGAATAGTTTTTTTACAAAATAGATGTTTGCATTTTTTGATTAGGAATTACCCGAGGTCACCCTCTAATTAAAACTTGTCGTTATCTCCGGACACCGTGGTAATAAGAGTTGGTGCCAACTATAAACAAGTACCCAGGGATAAGACTGGGCGACCGTGATATATTTTATGTCCTGACATATCATCTGTTAGACATCGCAATGCATTGTGCTATAACATATGTTCAAAAATTATTTCTTTTAAATCAAAAAAAATTTGTTTTTTTAATTTTTTAAAACTTTTTTAAAAATTAAATAAATAACAAAAACTTTGTTTTAATTTTCGGACAGTAAAAACAAAAAGATTTTTAGAATTTAAAATAATGATTAAAAGAACAAATAACTTATATAGATTGAGAAATTCTTAAAATATTATGTGAAAGTGACTAAGGAAACTAACAAAGTACACTTCAGTATCAAATGTTTTTTTAGCAACAAAATTTTTTTTTTAAATTAAGCGTTGCTTTCACAAAATAAAGATTTAAAAAAAAAAAAAAAGAGAGAGAGAAAGATTCAAAATAAATGTAGGCTTTGTTCAAATTATTATATTTAAGTGCATTAAGTAAATTTAAAATTTTTTTTTATTACGAAGTATAATTTACTTAAATATAAAAGGCAGCTATTAAATTGTACGACTTAAAATTAAAAAAGAAAGATTAAAAAAAACATGGCATGAAACCGTGACTTCTGATTCAATTGGTTCCTTGCCATTCAACATCATGAAACGAACATCGCTTTTGCAGCAAAACAAAATCAACGTCTTCGCAGCTAGAGGATATCAAAATAGTCTTTGTTAGCGCAGTAACAGTGTTAGCGTAGGCAAAGATCCTTGCATGTTAAATTGTTGTATATTGTTAAATTGGGAGTGTCTTCTTTTATCGGCCGTTTCAGATTTCTGATGCTCGCACGAAACTAAAGCTGCTATATTCCCATGGTGATGTATGCGTTAAATCAATGATTCTTGATACATTGATTTATTTCCCAGTCCTACCCTAGTGATAGGGGAATATCTTTTCAAAAATTCAAATTTATGCTTTATAATTAAGATTGAGGTTTAATATTGTTGCACGTACAGGGATCTGTTTAGGAGAAATTTGGGTCCGTTAACGGACCCTTCACAAAATATCTTTTCATAAAAACGGACCCTTTACAAAATATTTTAACTTAAAAACGGACCCTTCTCAAAATAATATATCTTTTAATGACCCTTCACAAATTTGTTTATCTTCATTATTGTTTTGTTAATCGAATAAATCCTTCCCGCGGGGAAAAAAAGGTAAGACGGTTCGAAACGAAATAAGTTTTCCAAGTTTCCCTAAGTAATTTTTTCACAATTTTACAAAAACAGGACCTTTCACAAAATGTCTGAACAGACCCCTGATGTATTTCATTTAGCAAGAGTCTTCGTAAATTAGAAATCATTCAATATATTCAGATACTTATTATTTTGAATGACCTTTTTCTGAATAAGATAATTATTTTGTTATATTTTTTTAGACATCATAGCTACAGTTATTTGTCCTGCGACTAACAAGCATATTGAAAAATATACTGAGCAACATATGTTTGTCGTCCATGAAACTCCAGATGCATACAAAACTGTTGTTCTGCCCTATATTGAATCTCAAAAATTTTCAATTCAAGTAAGTTTTAGGGTAATTGCTAAGTTAGTAAACTTTACTTTTCTTTGTTATTTGTCATTACATCTCAGCAGATCTTATCATATCGTAAGTTTTAGTAAATGTATAAAAACATTACTTATACCATATTTATTTAACAATATAATAAAATAATACTTTTGTTCCTTTTCCGCTATAAGATTATGCTATTAGATGGCTTCAAAGTAATTAGTTTTGCTGACCTTATGGTCCTTCAAATAAAACTTTTTTTTTTTTTTTTTTTAAATGAAAACCATGAAATTTAAAAATAACAGTGTGTGTGCAAAAATTAGTTGCATTGTTAAAAAGAAAACTTAATTAAATATGTATATAGTAAATGTATAACATTTTATTAAAGTTTCAGGATTGCATAATGTATTGATGTAAATATTGGAATATTTACTGTCCACATTTAATGACTTCCGAAATATATTCATATTTTAAAGGTAATCAATGCTCATTTATGAAGTTTTGATGATTTTTCTCACTACGGGGATAGAAATTTAAAAATTAGAATGAATGGTAACCTGGCACAGTAAATAAAAAATATTTCTAGTCCATTCCAAACTCATTTTCACTGGTCCGTTTATTTGTTTTGATTAGATTTTATTTTTATGACGTTAAATTAATTATTTAAAAAAATTACAATACAAAGAATGTATAATGCTCATAGTTATGAAGAAATATTATATTCTATAATCAAAACAGCTTAATGTTTTTTTACATCGATTGCTAGAATCGGACCACTGACAATTTGTTTTTTGGTAGCTCAATAAATTTTAGCAATTCCGACCAACAAATCAACATTAAATTTAATTGCATTCTTTATTTCTACATTCTTAAACAATTTTGCAAACAAAAATTTTTTGTTTCTCAAATAAAGCCTTTCTGTAAGAGCTCTGTAACATTCAGCGACCATCACCATCGTTTTGCCGTTGAGCCATGGTATTTTGGTTTATATTTTTATCATGCATTTCCTCATTTAAAAATTCTCAAATACTATGTTAGAAATTAATTAGTTTAATAAACTTTTAACTATTTATGTAACCCCTGTGACAGCTACATTGTTGCAGAACTTTACAAAACTTTTTTCTTTTGAAAAGTAAAATAATTTACTTTTCTTTTTTACAGAAATTTACACGTATTATTTGAATCGTGCATTTAGATAATAATTTTTTGACGCATTCAATTTACATGAATAGTATCGTAAATCAATGTAATGTTTCTATTGTACTTTCAGCAGTTATTGATATTGATTTCACGTGGTTTTTAGACATCCTGATGTATTTCAAACAGTATGGGAAATTCGAATCGTGCATTTGAGTATTTATTTTTTTGGGCAATAATTATGTAGAATTTTTGGAAATTATTGCTATTGAATTCTCCATAGTTTTTAAATCCGATTATTTTTATCAGATATTATTTATTACAACAATCTAATCTCGAAAAGAAACACAGGTTTGAGGAGTCCAATTTACGTGATTTCATCATAGATATATTTTTTTTGTTGCAATTATTATTACGGATTTCGTGATATTTAAGAATTTTTTTATTGTGATGATTATTTACAAAATGCGAAAAAGTAAATAATATTTTTCGTTTACCCCCCAACAAAATGCGAGAATATCACCCCAGGGCTCTGCCCAGGCCAAATTTACTACCTTTTAGCGGTACCTTCACAAATTCAACTTAAGGAAAATTTCACAAAATACTTTTTCTTAAAATTTTATTTTTGTATCCCGTAAGAAACGATAAATCCATATTTTTACCACATTTTTGTGTTGATATAATTTTTAATTTTCACAAATTATGTTAAATTTTCACAAAATAGGTACCTTACAGAAGAACCTAGGCAGACCCCTGCACCCATAATATTAAAATAAAAACTTTTACGTGTTCAATTAAGAAAATAATTTATTTTTTTTGATAACACAGCATATTTGTTATTTTAAATTAGTAACATATACGTTTGTTAGTATTAAAAGTATCTTGCTGAAAGATATAAGTGCTAGAGAGTGTAGTCGCAGGTAGCTCAAAAAAATACATGCCACAGGGTATGTAACATGATTGTCTAATTTTTCATCAAAGAATTTTAGCTGTATTTATTTAGTCGTTAATACTTTGATTGTTAATGTTTATTTTTTCTTTTCAGTGGGTTTATAATATTTTAGAGCATAAAAGTGAATCTGAGAGGATAACGTTTGAAGATTCTGACAAAGATCTGGGATTTATATTGATTCCAGACTTAAAATGGAACGATGTCAAGAAGGGTTCTATTTATCTCCTTGCTATGTGTCATACAAAAAACATTAAGTCTCTAAGAGATCTCACTGTATCTCATCTTCCATTGTTGAACAACATTAAGACTAAAGGATTAGTAAGTGTAATTTCGTGTCATAATAAATTTTGTTTTGTGAAATCAACTACATAGTTCGTAGCGTTTTTAAAAAGTGCTTAAATGTGCTTATTTTCGTTTTTTAAAAGCCCTTAAAAGTGCTTTTTTCATAGGGTGTTTCTAAAAAGTGCTTAATTTTCCCTTTTCAAAAATAAGATTTTCAAATAGTTAATGTCGATTTTCGCCATGTATTATTAAAAACCGTGTTTCTTACATTGTTCTATTCAACTTTTTCACAATTCATTCAACTACAATCTATTTCGGTGTGCCGGTGGTCATTCGCTTGTGAAAGCGCCAATCATTTTACATGCTTTATGAAATACTTGTGAGTCTGCATGTGTGTCTACTGAGCTGGGTTCAGTGAGATTATTGAAGCCAAGCTCGCCAGCCATTGGCGTTTTGCGAATTAAGTCAAGTAGGTGCTTCTTCTGTTTGACTAGAGAGCACCGCAAGAGTGAAGTATGTTTTAACTCGGGACCTCACTAATAGATGGCACTAATAGATGGCACCACTATTTATTCATAAGGCCAATTTCTCAATTTAGTCTCCCTTATAAGGATCTGATCCCTATATCCATGGTACTGCTCAGCGACCGAACACAAGACTTTTGATTCTACAGATTTTACGAAAATGTTTATCACATCTTCTTGATGTTAGCAGTGTCAAGACTTGAACCCCGATCCCTCCAGAGAGGATAATTATATTGAATATCAAATGTTATGTTAATTTCATTATATTTGATCACTTAGGTAAAACATATACATTTATTTTTTAGAACAGTTGCTGAAATGACTTCTAAAAGAAAACCTTTTTATTATTATTAGAAAAAATGTCAGTGTTAATATGTATATACAGTGTACTCCCGATTATCCGGGTTAATCACCGGGACAGGTCGCACGGACAATCGAAAAACACGGATAATCCGAAAACTCCTTTTATTAAAGAAAAATTCAATATCAGTACAAAAAATATAAAAATTACTGACATTTGCATGCATAACATCAAACTAGGAATTTTCCTTNCGGAAAACCAAAAAACCGGAACGAAATTCGATAAATTTTCCCGCTATTTTAAAAAAAAAGAATTTTTTTTCCTCGTAAGATTCTAGGATTTTTCGTTCTTTTTTGAAAGATGTTTACCTTACCATCATTTTGGTAATAATCATTAGTGTATTACTTCATCGTTTTTTCTTCTTTTTAAGATTATTTCCAATTTTTCTTTTTTTTAGTTGGTTTTAACAATAAAAGAAACGGCTTTTTCTTAGCGATTCAGAAAACCGGAAAAATCAGTTATCCGGAATATCGATGGTCCCGATCGTTCCGGATAATCGGTTCCCTACTGTATATATATTGAAAGTTAACATTCAGTTTCTATAAGTGGATCTAATATTTTCTAAAATTCTAAGTAGATAATCTAAGTGTAAATAATGTCAAATATTTTGCGTGATGTTACAAATCTTTTTTTTTATTACAGGAGGCAATTTCAAAGAAATACAGCATTGTTCCTGAAAAACTTAGAATATACCTACATTATCAGCCATCCTATTATCATCTGCATGTTCATTTCACAAGTGCTGACACAGATGTGCCTGGAAATCAGTTTAATAGGGCTCATTTGTTAGACACTGTCATTAACAATATAGAACTAAGTGCCTCCTATTATCAAGATGTGACATTAACTTATTTGCTGAGAGAAAATGATCCTTTGCTTCAGAAAATGAAAGAAGCTGGTTTTGTTGATAAATAAAATGTCATATTTGGTCAAATTAAAATGTCGTATCATACATCTTTATAGAACTGGGTGATATATCGATATTTTTTGTGTATAATTTTTGTTTATATTCTCACGATCTATGAACGACTATAAACGTTCAAGGCCATAATGTTGTGAGTATTAACAATAATTATAAATTCACTGATGTAAAGATCATTATCGATAATGAAAAATATTAAATTTCATAATGTCACAATCATTATTGATAAAGATAAATAGAAAATTAGATAATATCTCACAAATTATTGATAATGATGATTATCAAATTGATGCATTTCATTTGGGTACAAATGTAAAAATATTGTAAATTATATAAATAGTAAAAATAAAACACTGGATTATAAATTTTCGAGAATATATTGCAACATTATAATTCCAGTATCACCCAGCATTAATCTCTTATTTTGTTTTTGATGCATATATCTATACAAGTGAACATGAGCTTCTGTATCCTTGCAAGGAAACAACATTGCGAAGAATAATTTCTTTTAGTAAATCGGTTTGATCGAGAAAAATTTATATGAGATTCTACTAATTAATTTTACTCAATTGAGCTGATTAATTTGTGATCTACTATGTTCTTGGTTAATCTGAACATTAAAGCTTTTGTTTGTAGAAAGCTTGACTATTGATGTATATTTTTTACGTTCTATTTTCTCTTAGAATGAATATCATAAAAACCACTTTAGAAATTTTTTTTTATATTTAGTTCTTAATCATGTAGTACAATTACTTATGAATCACAAAGTTTAAAGGAGCTTTTATTTATTAGAGATCTGATTTGTTGATTTCAAATGTGTGTTCATTTTAATTTTCTGAGTAATTGAATACCAACTTTTCTCCATTTAATTTTGGTAAAAAAATCATGGAAAAGAAAATAATTTTAAAAAGTTTTTTGTTTTAGTTATTTTTTTAGGTCCTCTGCTTAGTTAAAAATTGCTGCATCACCATCGCATAATTTTAAAAATATTTCCACATAGTATAGGGCTCTATTTATCCAAAATAAATAGTGTACAAATAATATATGATAGTAGAAATCTTCCCAATTTGTTGATTTAGTGTTTAATGCATCCTTTTAGCCTATCAATCAACTTACAATCTCCGTGGCGACATTGTCGCAGAACGTTCACGAGTTCTTGCAGAAAGATTTTTCATTGGGAAGTAAAAAACTTTTGTGCAGAAATTTTTGAAAGATATTATCTTTTCTTCAGAATTATATTCAAAAGATGCTTTTCTCGCATAGCGGAGTGAAAAAAAAAATGCCTGTGATTTTTATGCTTTCATTTGAGAATAATCTAAAACAAAGAGTAATGAAGTAAAAAAAAATTTTGTTTTCTTTTCTGCAAAAATTTTCGTTCAAATTTTTTTATGCAATTATTACTATTGATTTCCACATATTTTTTAAAATTCAATATTTTTAATACGATATTATTTATTGCAACTAAATCTCGAAATGAAAGCACGCATTTCGTACCCTTTTTTGAAGAGTCCGATTCGCGTGCTTTCTTCATTGATAAATTTTTTTTTTGGTAGTTACTGCTACTGCTTTCAGGATTTTTTAATTATTTTTTTTAATGTGATGATGATTTACAAAACGCGGAAAAGGAAATAATTAGTGTGTTTTGCTCCTACAAAATGCGAGAATATCGTCCATAATATTAGAATAAAAAAATATCACATGTTTAATTAAAAAATAAATTTTTTTGATCGAAAAGTTTTTTTTTTTTTTTTTAATTTTTTTTTTGAAGTTGATGCTTCTGTTACTTTAATTTAGTAACATGTATATTTGCTGTTTTTAAAAGTATCTTGTATAAAGATATTAGTATTAGAGAGGTGTGTCGTAGAAAGCTCGAAAAAATTCTGCCACAGTACTTACAATACGTTTTACTTATGCATAATATTACACTGTATCATTTTGTAATTCATGAAATCTGTTCTAATTATAACTGTTTTTAAACTCATACTAGTAATCAGGAAAAATATTAGAAATGATGTGCACTTCTTTCTAACTAATTGATGAAAAAACATTGTTGTCTGGCTATATTTATGATCTTTCTGGAATATATCATGTTGTATTTTTTTAAAAAAAATTTCATGTATAAATTTAAATGTCATCAATGTTTATTTTAAATGTTATGTTTGTTTTGGAAACTATTACCAGTATGCATTTGTATATATATTCTCATTTCAATAAATTTTCTCTGTATTTTGCTTGTGATTTCATGAATGTCAACGTTATATAATTTGTTATTTATGTGGCTCAAACTATGCTGATTATCTGAATCTATCTCTGATAATTATGTTGTTATCATGACTCACAGTTAATAGAAATAATTGTATTGAAAACGTTAAGCATTCTGGCGCATATGCTACTACTAATCTAGGTATGAAATTTTAAATGGGTTTTTTTCATAAGGAATCAATTCTGTACTATATTATACATTTGTACTTTACATCTGTTAGAATATATGATTGTCTCGTTTAATATATTTAATCTTTAAAATTGTGGTATAATTTAATTTTCTTGGGAAATTGCTCATTGTAAACAACATTAAAATTTTTGTAATTAGACATGGTTATTATTTTCTATTCTTTTTTATTATTTACAAATATTTAAAAAATGATTTATTTATAATAACTAAAATTTAATCAAAAGATTTATACGTTAAATGCCTCTATTAGTACGACAATGTCCTAATTTCAATGCTTTTATTATAAACGGACTTGCAAAAAAATAACAGTAATAATAAGTAAAGGAATATTTCATTTATGTGACAATTTTGTAGAATAAATAAAAAAAGATTATTCTTAAACATTATTTTAAAAAATTGGTCGACGGCCGGTTTCGTACCTGCAATTTTCGGGACGAGCAATTCGTTGCTTCCTACCACTTTACCCTACTTTTTTACCTGGCTACTAGATTTATAACAAGCTTTAAAAGTAATTTCTAATAGTTTGTCAAGGGAACCACATTATGTCCCATTGTCCTTCCCCCTAATCTGTCTGTAATTTTCTGATTATTAATAAATTTGTTAATTTATTGACAATCAGAAAATTACATAATAATCAGATTATTCTAAAGCAGAACAATCTGCTATTGATGAAGGTCTAGGAAATATTCTTGAGAATGATCTGGAGATAACATACATTTGTCACATCCCGTTTTACAGGGAGGAGACCTTCACACACCATCCATCCACAGATCATAATTTTGACCTGAACCAGAACGCGATCAATCTGCGATACATTATCTCCAGAAGTATTAATTTGTTAAGAGGACTTTGTGACCCCGACAGATTTAGCATGCACCAGTCACCATTTTGAACACGGAGTCTCCGGTCGGCGTGGATTGTGCCGGTATATGCCTATCAATTATAAGCATGATTTTGTAGTGTTTCTCAGTACTAATTTATTTTTTATTTTCGTCTTTTATATCCTCCGTGTGTAAAATGGGTATTTAGCTAGTATAGAGTTAAAAATTGTTGCTTAAATAAAAAAAGTTATATGTATTTTTGTTGTTTGGGGGATTTAGGGATATTAAGTGTGTGAAATTTAGAGATATCCGCATCAGCCTTGAGGGCACCTCGGATGAAGATGTCTTAAACTTAGCCTCTATTAAGTGGAATTTTTGTGGCCCTTGAAGTTTTAGAAATGCAAAATATTTAATACCAATATTAAATTTATACCAAGCTGAGGCTTGGTATTAAATGAGCACAATCACCAGTAAAATCCAAATATTTATAAATAAAAGTATCAGAAGAGTTTTGAACTTAAAATTATTTTATAAAGTATAAAAATAAGCACTGTATAGTAGATTCAGAGAAAAGCCAGTTGCTTGAATTAAGATTGTTCGATTGGTCATGAATATAGGAGTTATTGCTTCCTACATACATGACCAATCTACTACTATTCATGTACTTTAGAGATAGATTGGCATGGAAAAGCCTAAATATTTAAAATGAGAAAGGTTTTGAATTATATTCCCTAAACCAAAGTGAGCAGGGTGAGGATAAGATAATTAAATTATAAATCAAAGGTATTGTTGAAATTGAATAAATAGCTTTGCCGAAATGTGGGTGAGGAGCAAAACTTTTAAGGAAAGAAAGGTATTAAGAAGAAATTTAAATTTGATCTCTCATATTTGTAATTTTAATGCGACAAGCTTTTCTGTTGGAGATTTCATTGTGTATACCATATTATAATAGATATTTTACTCTTTGGGTGTGGAGATGCGTATGTCCCACGCAGCTCCATCATCTCTTTTCCGATATCCGCTCTGCTTTGGACCATATCTAGGTTTGTCTTATTTGCATGTCAATGTAAGCTAAAAGCAACTTATGATCTTTAGACATTAAAGGTAAATGAAGTGTTATTTGTTTTGATTTCGAATGTTGCCTCGTTTTCCGTTTATCGCAATACAATTTATTTGCTTAATTATAGAAAAAAATGGTTGAAGTTCAAAAGAAATGTGTGGACTTTAAATTCAAGGTTGGTGACAGTGCTATTGAGAGAACATTATTCATCAAGCAACATGATGGATCTGATAGTGTTAAGCCAAATGATAGAACTTTGTTCATCGTAAACATACCCCAATTTTTGACTAAAAAGTGCTTAGAATCTCTATTTAATAGTTATGGACCGATCGAAAATGTATATATTCAATCAAAGCCATCAAGTGGTGTTGTAGTTCTAGGCTCTAAATACTTTTCTCAACAAGAAAAAACAGTTGGGCCAAAAGTTGGATACATTGTTTTCAAGCGTGGTGTTAGTCTAAAAAAAGCCTTAAAAGTAAAAGGTGATGTTATAGTTATTCCAAAAGCATTTACAGCTGGGAAAAGTAAATGGATTAAAGAATACAATTCTCACTTTGTTGATGCTAAAGAATTGCAGGAGGAAATCGAGAGTTTCATGGGCGAATTCGATGAAAAGATTGAGGAAGAAAAAGAGAAAGACAAAGAAATAGAAGGTGTTGCGGACGAAGAAGGATGGGTTACTGTCACAAAACAGAGTAAAAAACCTAAAATCAAGCGAAATGAAGTTACAAGTCAAAAATTATTAGAGAAGCAAAAACGAGCTCAAACCAAACAGACTCTGGTAAATTTCTATAAATGTCAAATCCGAAATGCGAAGATGGATGAAATCTTGGAATTAAGGAAAAAGTTTGATGCCGATAAGAAACGTTTAGCCTTAATGAAAGCTGGTAGAAAATTTAAACCTATGTAATATCCTATATATGAGATTACACGTAAAAACAATTTTTTTTATGTTGTAATAAATTTCTTTGTTCACGGATTTCCAAATATTTTATTATTCACTCTTTAATATTAATACCCAATAATATCTTGACATATTTTTAAAAATTTTTTTTGCCAATTTTGCGTTAGTTATGTACAACCAATTTCAGCTTTTTTTAAAGAAATGAATGGTATTGGTCCTCGTTAAACTGTTCTACCATAAAGTGTTTGACTTCGCGTGCAGGCCGTCCGGCTACTGAGGCAGGGGTGTCACCCCCTTCGCAGAGGATCAAAATTGTGATGGCATGTCTTCGGATCATCCTCGGGGATGTTTCCCACATTGTTGCCAATAGCCAGAGCCGGATTATACCTTTTGTAGGCCCTAGGCATAGCCGTTTTTGGGCCCTCCCCTCTTTCCAAAATATATGCTAAAATTCAACCCCTCCTTTCAAAATATATGCTAAATATATTCAAAATACATGCTAAAAGTAATATATTAGATCATCATAAGATTCTGCAAAATAATTTATTACCGAAAAATATTATATTTTTATTTGTATCTTCATAATTTTGTGCAAAATACACTTGTTTTTAAAGCTAAATTATTTTTGTCAACAAATTTTTTTCTCCCAAGTTTTTCGTAGGCCCTAGGCACGTGCCTATAGGTTAATCTGGCCCTGCCAATAGCCCATTGAGCAGCCCTAGTGCGACGTAAATGAACAACAACAACAAAGAAATGAATGTCCCCCTGAAAAAAAATTTTTTATGCCTGGCTAATGGAAAGTACCATTTTTGTTTTTTTTAAATTCTTATTAAAATTTAAGTAAATGCAGTGAATGTCGCAGTTTTCATTTCATTGATCTAAATCACGATGTAAAAATAAATATTTGTTTTTAGAAATTAATTTTTTTGTAATAAAATATTTTTTGTTAACTACATAGATTAATTTATGTGTTTTTCAACATCTATATGTTACCTTAACACTTTAATAACTTCAAAGATTGCAAATATTGAATTTTAGCTTCTATATTTTTATTAATACTTCAAAGACGGCTAAAAATAGAAATGTAAAATTTTTTCTATATCTCCTAGAATTGTCTAAAATTTAAATTTTTTTCCTCATAAGCCATTTTTTGGGTTGTTCTAAATAGAGAAATCATAAAAATAATAATTTATTTCTTAGTCTATAAGTCTAATGAGAATTCACTGGAAAACGGTTATGTTTACAATAATTTTTATTTTATATCTGTCGATGAACAGCTGACCCAAATTTGGGTTTATGACTAGGTACTAGGTTCAGCTCCTGAGCCTTGTAAATTTGAACCAATCCAGAAGACAAGGAAACTCGTGGATTAGTATCTCCCAGAGGTATTGATTTGTTATGGGAACATTAGGGGCTTTGCGACTCGACAGATTTTTAATGTGCATGAGTCACAATTTACTACATGGGGAATCTTCGGCCGGTGGGGATTGAACTCACGAACTCTTGGACATGGGCCCAGTGCCCTACAAACCAAGCTATCCCGGTCTTATGTTTACAATGTTGAAAATTATTGGTGGTCCAGCACCAAGAAATCCTCTTTTAGACTAATATGAAATACTAATCACTTGTCCGTGGGACCATCAATGTGCCTGCTGTTAATTGATAATACAATGGCAGCAAGATCATTCTATTAATATAGTATGTTACGTTATATTATGTCTATAAGTTAGGTTGTAAACTTTATAGTCTTATGTTATTATGCAAGTTAGGTTGTAATGGAATAATTTGACGTAGCATTTCTGCAATATATCTTATTTGAATTTTTTTTTTTCATTTTTAAGATTTATGAGCATTTTTTTCCTTTCCTTCTAACTCGGTGATACATTGATTAANGAATTTTGGAAAAAATTTAGTCTTCCGCCATTTTGAAAAAGACATGAAAACAGCTATGACAAGTGTTGAGAAAAAAAGTGAGTTCTTTATAATAAGTTGTTTAAAGTTATCTCTAGTTTTCGCTGTTAATGAATTACCAAACTCCCTCATCGACAATTTAGAGCAATTTGTAAAAGTTTAAGTCTGTGAAAACTAATCTGGAAGACCTGACAAAGAGTATGAACATGGAAATAACTTCAACGAACTTCACTATTCCATAACAGAAATAAGTGAAGAACCTATGCTGGCAGATGTAGAGGATAGGAAAGTGTGTGCACAATGCTACAAATTTAATTAGTGATTCCAAATAGTTCAGCATCTGTTGCAAGGTCAATAGCAGCCTCAAAACCGAATTAAAACAAAATATCGTAACAGATTGACTGATAAGCATTTGAGCAAACCTAATGAGAATAACTGATGAAAAAGTAGATATAGAACATTTTCCATATGATAATGCAGCAAAAATATTCAATGGTTTAGAAATTAAAAATTCATTATAATTAAAGAAATATTTTTTTCCAAGTCTATTCGTGTTTTTTTAATTTTTAGAAATCTCACTTAACTTTTTGAAATCTCACCCAGTTCTTGAGAAAGGGTGAGAAATTCTCTCCCATTTTTTTTCTGTAATGAAAACACTGATTATTTAATATTGATGTTTTTTTTCTGAATTTTATTTAGATAATAGTTACAATATTAAACATTTATTTATTTAGTTTCCAAGTCCAGTTTAATATTTTATTCAGTTGTTAAATCTATCCTATGCTTAGTAGTTTTATTCAAAGTTAACTAATAAATGTTTAAAGCAAAAAAAATTATTTTATGTGATGTTTCATGGTCATATTTAACATTAAATTTTGAGTGGACCACTGATATTGTTAGTGGATGAGTACATAATGATACTTACTGGTCCAAGGAACAGCATCTTTTTTTTAAAAATAATTTCTAACACTGGATTAGCTATCTTCTGTGGTTATAGAAAAAATATTGTTTTAAATCATATTGATTAAAATGAAGATCAGTGCTTTTATAGTGAAATTTTAAGCATGAAACAAAAGAAATGAAATAAAACTGTCATAAATTTTTAAGGGCCCAGGATAGCACAGTTGGTAGGACGTTAAGTTTGTGCTCGTAAGATCAGAAGTTCGAATCCTGTCGGCCAAAGAATCCCTGTGCATTAAATGGTGACTGGTGCACGTTAAATCTGTCGTGGACACAAAGTCCTCTAAGTGGGGATATTGAATTGGAGATTAATCGTTCAGGTCAAAATTACGATCTGTGGATGAATGAATGGGTCCTCCCTGTAAAATAGGTTGTGACGTGTGCATAGTTTAAGGTCATAGATTGCCGCAATTAAAAATACGAAACGAACCCTCTGCCTAAAATCTTCTTGGTTCTCCACAGCAGTCTTGCTGGTATTGGCAAGTGGCATAAGTATATAACAATTTTATGAAAGACGCATGTACAAAAACATATTTTTATAACATTTCAAAGATAAATTACTAAAATATGCTAACAAAACAAACACAATCTTTTCGGCTCAGCCCATCGGATCAAGGCCCAGAGGTCGACCAAAGCGGAGATGGGCCGACTGCGTGGAAAGAGACTTTTCAGTCTTAAAAGTCTCCAACTGGAAGACAACTGCCAGGCAGAGGCAGGCCTGGAGGAAGTTGATTGAGAAGGCAAGGGCCCACCCGGGGCTGTCGTGCCATTGAGGAAGGAAGGAAAGACACCTTCTATCATCTATTAGAATGTGTTAAGAATTTTACTTTTAACAATATATAATGTAATTAACAGTATTTAATTGAATCAATATTGAAGGATTCAAGTATATATCTTATTCAAATTTTTCTACCTACATCAAGCTAATTAAATTAAATTTACGAATATACATTATGCTTCTTAAAAATTTTCTATTATTAAAGGATTAATAACTTAAAAAATCTTTTAATACTTAGCTATCATATAAAACAATTATAAAGATATTGTATTTTGATTACAATGTTAGAATTAATATGGCTATGTTTAATACTTATGAATAATAATTTAAAAACATCTAATATTCTACATTTCATATTTTTTAATGCTACCAACTACAAGAGGGAGGAGGAGAGTAAAACTTAAAATTCTCAGTAAAATTATTCGCCAAGAATAGATATACAAAAATAAAGATTGTACTAGAAATGTGTTGGTGCAACTAAACTATCCAGAAATAGATTTTTTGTTTTAAAAAAATTAACATTTATTTAAATAAATATTGTATACTACATTTATGCCACAAATCAATATCTATATAAGACTGTTCTGAGTCTGATCTAGATTTCTACAAATCATTTCTATTTTATTAATTTAGTTGAGCTTTTTAATATTTTATACTTTCTAAATGTTTAGAAATCTATTTTCCAATTTCTTTGTTTTGGGTTTTTACCCTTTTTCTTATCCTCCAAGTTTTGTTCCATTATCTTGTTCCCCATCCCTATTGGTCAATACATTTTCCTTGTTTGTTATTTGTTTTGTATCTCTGTGTTTCAAAACTGGAGAAACTGTTTCATTATATTACCAGGGGTGATTGTGAGCCCAACTAAAAAATCCTGAAAATTTCTCCAATAAAATCATTAATTACATATTGCAAAAATTTAACGTCTTTATAAATTTAAATCATTGATAACTTCAAAACATGAAATTCTAAATAAATTATATGCAGCATAATTTAAATGAATAATTATGCATAAGTTTACATTTATCTCTAATCACATTCATTATTATACTTGAAAAAATATTTACAAATGAAAGAGATTCCAAGTCTAAATAAAACATAAATTTTTTTTTAATACATAAATGTGATCAATAATTTCTTGAAATTTTTGGACCTCGGATTTCCGGAAACTTCTGGATCACGTTTACCGAAAAATCCGGACTTTTTCCAGAGCACAATCATCTCTGTATTACTGAAGTGATTGCAGATTTATTTGACATTATTTGTGCTCTTTTTGAACTATTTCACAAATGCTCATTTTGTATGTAAAACAAGATATAGTTAAAATTATCTATAATTTTTTCGGCATCTCAACAAAACTATTATAAATTAAGTGTATTTGTAACATTTAAATAACTTTTTATACATCTTGTTTTATGATGCAGAATGAAAATTTTGTAGAATACATTGTAATATTCTAGATCTTTTTTTAAAAACTTGAAGAAAAATAATTGCTAACTTTTATTTTAAAATTTCAGAATTATAGCCAACAAGTCTTTTAACACTCAGATGGCACATAATTTCAAGTCTCAAGAAAATAAAAAAATTACAATAGTTACTCAATAATCATGCAATCCCTGAAATTTAAGTGTTGCTGTCCTTGTATTTATCTATCCAGCAGGGACGTGTTATCGAGATTCTTTTATAGTCAAGTTTCTTATCAATCATAAAATGCTACTTAAAAACACCATCAATCATCAATGTCTAGACACATAACCAAACTTTTTTATCCAATCAAACTAGAGAATATTTGCAAAATTTAGTGGTTTACTGAAAAATCCAGTAACATTGGCAGCTATGATATTTTATGTTACAATTTTTTATTTATTTGTAGTGGATTTAAATTACTTACATTTACAAATCAATTCAACTTTTAATAGAAGAATGTTAGTTAAAAATGAAGGATAAAAATATCATAACTACAAATATTATGAGTTTACAACTTTTATTTTTGCAGGTGTTCAAAATTTAGGATCAAGGGTGATTGTGAGCCCAAGTCAAAATTCCGGAAAATTTCCCGTTTTTTTTTTTTTTAAAAATTTAAATTGAAAAATTAGAAAAAAATTTAAACAAGATTATTTTCCTTTTTCTCAATATTTCTTAGTTTACTTAAAATATATTTAAAATTTTACACATACCTATGATGACCTGGAGAAGTAATTAAAATTTACAAATATGTCTTTCTTTCTTGAGTTTATGATTATTACAACTATTTACTGATAAAAAATGACTATTAATCATGAATATAAGCTTATAAAGTATCTCTCTGGCTCTCCCTTACAAACAAATAAAATAAACTGTGTTTTCAAGTTCCACCTTTAAAAATTTGATCTCCGGAAACTTCCGGATCACTGTTAACGAAAAATCCGGAAATCCGGATTTTTTCAGGAGCACAATCAGCCCTGTAGGATAATGTCTAACATAGATTATCAGGTATACCGAAATTTTTTTTGCAGATACAGGACATCCCAGCAAGAATAAAGTCAGAAATCAAAAATTTTAATAAATTTAAATTTTGAAAATATAAAATAAGAGAGCGAAAGTTATGCAGTAACTCAATTGACTAACAAAGGTACATGTTATACTAACAGTTCTTTCTTAACTATTTTGATCTTGATTTCCATATGTGCAATTTATAATTGTTTTCTAAAAAAATTAGGAGTTTTAGTTGTGACATTATTCTAATCGGATTGCCATATTATGCATTATTTACTTTCTTTATTTGTATCCATATTATAAAATTAATTTAATCCACATCATTACCTTAAATTAAACCTGGTTTTAATAAGTGCCATAATATATTCATTTATTCACATAAATCAAATCATTTTAATAATGCAACAAACATGTTTTGCTTTTAGCAATTTAGTAAAAATTTGTTTATTTATTTTTCACAAAGATTATTAACTTTACTATTATTGAAAATTAACTAAGAACTTGTCATGATCTTTATATATATATATAAAAAAAAAAACACATACATTATTTACAAAGCACATGAAAGCAAAAACATATAAAATAAATAACTAAATTCTGAATTAATAAAGTTGTAATCATTCTCTTAAATAATTGGACTTTGATTTCATAAAGTGAGTGAACTTTGTTTATGCTGTATTATGAAACTAGTTTTTTTAATTATTATTTTTGCTTTAAAATTCTTACTGGGAAACAATATTTTTTTAATTGATATTAATATCTTAAAATATAGTACTTATTATCTAAACTCAAAATAACCTCAGTCCTTATGATTGGAATAAAATATTCACAGACAACAAAATAAAAATGCAATATAGTGTTTTTTTTAAAAACTATTGTTAAAATTTATGAATTTTAACTAACGTTGATAACATTATTATCATTAAGAAGCAACTGAGAACTTGACATGTATAAAAAACATAAAAATATTTACAACACATACAACAAACAAACAAAAACGTATACAGATGAATGATGATTGGTTCAGGTGATATTGCCTTTATGGGTATTCTAACTTGCTAATAATTTCACGGGCTCTGGCAAGCATAGGTTCATTTTCACCAGGATTTTCAAGCAAGCCATGTAAATGACCAATGTAAATGTCGAGTGTTTCAGGTGTCGGAAGTTCATTTGTATCTGGAAAAAAATGAGAAAAAAAATGAAATTATAAATAAAATTTTATAAAGATTATTATTAGAATGTGAGCTATAATATTGATAGGTCGAATAATGATCTAAACTTTTTTTGTATAAAAATAAATTTTTGTAACTCTTTGTAAAAGTAAATATTTGATATATAAAACTTTTTTGTACATATCAAATAAAAGCTTTTTAAATAAAAATTAAAGTACAGTCGAACTCGTTTATAATGAGCTCGGATTTAACGAGAACTCGGATTTACCGAGGGAAACAAGAATACTTGGTTGGATCAATGTTAAGTCTATGGAACAGAAGTCGCTTTTAACGAGAAAGACGCGGCTTTAGCGAGCAATATTTTTCTGTCTTGCAATCTTTTTTCCTCATCTTTGTAGTCTTTCTGTCTTATCCTTTTTTCAAAATTATAAGAAATGCGCGCGAAATAAAAAAAAACAACGAACTGAAACTTAATTGCCCTTATCGCTCTAATCTAAAACATGGGAAAAGTCACGTGAGAGTAGGCGGTGACGTATCGATTTCGTGCCTTATCGTTCATGACGTATGGTCGTGACGTCATTAGTAAGTAAGAATTAATTTAGTAAGCAAGAAAAGTATTTAATTAAATTAATTAATGTAAATAAAGTAAGTAAGTATTAATTAAATTTTAAGTAAACTCAATCATTTGACCTCCAAAGCCACCCCCCCCTCTTCTGGTTGCACGCCTGCCTTAAGGACCCGTTTATTACGAGCACTCGGATTTAACGAGTGCAATGTTACGGTCCCTTTGTGCTCGTTATAAACGAGTTCGACTGTATAGCTATTATAACAAAACATACTCAAACCTGCTAAAAATTGGAGAAATAAAATAACGGAGATTTTACTAGCGACATTTTTTAGGCTATGAGTAAAGTTTTGATTCATCATGCCTAATCATAAGTTAGAAAGAAAAATTCAAAATTGGAAATAATATAAGCACTTACATTTAGTGAAGTAAAAAATATGTACATAATCTTAACCTAACAGAGATTTTTTTAAAGCCATTATTTATAATTACTCAAACTATAAACACTCAACATATTGCAGTACTGGCAATAGCACAATCTGTTGAAGAATAAGAGAGAATCTTTGCCATCAGCAAATATTTCATCACCAACATATTTTTTAAAAATTTCTTGAACAAATACGGAGAAATTTGAGAATATACGAGTAAACAGGAGATAGTTGTAAAATACAGGAGTCTTTGTTAAAAAATAGGAGACTTGGCAGGTATGCATACTTACATCAAGAAAAGAGCTCAATAAACATATTCTATATTACTAATAAATTAAATAAAATAATGAAATCGGAATTTTATCTATAAATGGGAAAGTCAATCTGCAACAATTAAAAACTTTTTATTTAAAAAAAGCAGCTGTTAAAAACACAATATTTCAATACAAAATTAAATTTTAATCACCAACTTTTCTTTCTTACCGAACTGATATATTTATTCAAGATTTTTCTTTCTATATTACATTTAATCAACACATATATAATTTTTTTTTAAAATCAGAAAGGCATGGTTTTTCGTATTGTTAATGTCAAACATTAGATTTTGAGAGCAACAAAATATCTCTAAATTAGAATATAATAAATTTTTTTTGCTGAATTTAGGAATTTTTGCAGGAAAAATTATAATGGATAAAACTTTTTAACTTTAATCTCAATAAATGAATGTTGTGACCGACCATATTCCTACTATTTAAAAAATCTAGTTTATCATTGATGGTTGGTAGTAATAAATAATAATTAATTGAAAGGATAGGGATAATCTACTGATTAAGTCACATTTCACCCCTAATTGACGCTTATACACAAATTTTTTCCTTAGTATTGTTTGCAGATAGGTAGTTTAATAATTTCCAGAATTTTCACTACAAAACAGCACTAATTTCAAAAACATCTTGTTGACTACATGATAAATCTTGCTGCTTTCTACTAAAAGCACTTTCCTGATTGATTTGAAAACATGGCTCCCTATCATATTGCTCCATGCCTTAAATTATAGCCTTTAGAGATAAAAAAAGAGATTTCTTACTTGGCAGAGGAAAGTCAGCAAAGCTGTTTAGTAGCATGTTGCGCAAACTATCCAAGTGCTGTTTCAGCCCTATATTATTACTGTGTTGTTGAGCATTTTCAACCTCAAGTTTATCGATTGCAGACTTCATATTCTCAATATGTTTGGTCAGAATAGCGTTTTGCTCTTCATATTCAGTGTTTGATTTACGCAGCTGTCGTAATTCAGCTTCTCTGGCTGTAAAGAATTAAAAAAAAAAAAAAAAAAAAAAAAAAAAAAAAAAAAACATTAATATGAACTATATAAAAATAGCAAAATAAATAAATTTGAAAACATTCACATGTTTTTGATAAATTAAAAAAAACTATAATCTTGAAATACTTTGAATAAGATTTAAATTAAAATTCTTGATACTGATTTCAAAATGGTATAGTTTGTACATTTCATAAAATACTTAAAAATATAGTTTATTTTTGCTTTTAATATTTATTGGAATTTTTTGCAATTGTTTTTTAAGTTTTATTCTACTATTATCATAGGAAGTTTTAGTTTCAATATACAGTCAGACCTCTATTTAACGAACTTCCCTTTTACGAATTTCTCTATTTTGCGAATTTTTTTCGAGAAACCAAGAATATTTTGGAAATTTCTTCTTTGAGATCCCCTTTCCCTATTTCCGTAAAATTTCAGAGCATTTTAAACTTGTCAACGCATTTTATGGGGGAAATGCCCTTTGAATTGATTTTTGAAGCCCCTTAACTTTTAGAGAAAGCAGTTAGATCCCTTTCCCTTTTTGTTTGCATTTCAAGCGAAAAACTCAGACAAATTTAACAGATTTTATCAGAAGCAATTAAATTTAAGAACGCATGTGGTAATGTATGTTTAATATTACCTTTATAATAAATGCAGATATAATTTTATGCATAAATTTAGCTTCTTTTAGTTTAAAATATATGTAGCATGATGTGTAACACTGTATAATGTTTTGCTCTATTCTTGCTTTCCATGCAGATTTCTTTTATGGTTAAGATTTTTAAAATATATAGTAGATACTACTTAGCAAGATAAACGTGTATTAATTGCTATTTCAATTATGTCTAGTTTATGAATTTAAAACATGTTTTATGTCGCTTAAGTATTTCAAAAGGTGACTTTCTATCTAGCGAATTTTCTATGTGAAGAACTTATTATCGGGATTTAGCGACTTCGTTAAATGAAGGTCTGACTGTAGTTATTTTTCATAAAAGATCATTTTAAATAACATTGAAGTTACTTAAATTAACATCATAAAAGCAATAAAGCATGTACAACGAAGATTTCCAGTTTTAAACACATACAATCAAACCATAAAAAAAAAAATGAAATAAATACATAAAAAGGCCAAGAATACAAAAAAAGAAAAAAAAAGCAAATATAAGTTTTAAGCTACCAATAAGTCTTACAAACGCTAATGAGATATAATTTCTTACAAGTTTAATAATCACACAGTGTGTACCAGCTCAAAAAGATAATGTATTGCAGTAAAACCAACAATGAAAAAAAAAAAATATGTAACACACACATTGAGTTCTTATGCTATTTGCCGAGGATTATAAACAAACACATTTAATTTTATAAGCACAACACATTATACAAACACATTTTCAACAATATAGCTAACAAAATTTTTTTTCTTCTGTTTTATTAAAATTATCAATTTAATATAATCAGACAAATTTTTCATCACAATTCTCTACATATATGAATCATTTTTAAATATTTTATTTCTAAAATTAGTATAGTAAAATAAATTGTAAATCTAGTTGACATAAAATTATATAGATTGAATATAAATAATAATTGCTTAAACTGTCACACAACAATTTTCCATACAATAAAATTATTTATGTTACATTAACATCATAATTATCAAATGATTTCAACAATTCTTAATATTATACCCTCCACACATTAAAGAACACTTTAGTTTAGTATTTATTAGTATTATTATTTTAAATCAGAAAGTTAAACAAGTTTGAAAAATAAGTGAAAAGCAAAGGATAAGCAATTAAATAATCAATACAAAACATGATAAACAATATTTAGAAATTGTAACAGTCTTTGTATTAATCAATGATCCTCTTATGGTTTCAAATTTTTAAAATTCACTGCATCAGGTAATCACACATTAAATTGAAATTGGTAATATTTCAACTATTATTGAAACTCGTGCAAGTTTTTTATACTAGCTTTTACTACATATGAAGTAAGTCAAGTATACAAAAAGCACATGATTTTTATTTTACTGAGAGGTATTAACAGTCCATTCATTTAGTAGTTTCAAATTATAACATATTATGAAACATTCCTTTCATATCTTATTTATTTTTCTTTACAGCGAGATAGTTTTCAGCAATTGAGATTAACGTGTCACAAAAATATAACCTCAATTTGAATGAAATTGGTAGAATAGTTCTCAAGACATCAAATTTTAAAAGCGCAACTTTTTAAAATTGGATAACTTAGAAATTATTCGACTGATATCATATAAACTTTATTTCATTTGAAATTATTAATTTTAAAACAATGCAAAAATTAGTTTATCTTACAATTCAAAAGCTTTTAATTATTAAATAACAAATAATTACTAAAAAATAATTTTTACATGCAATTATATTTAGATTAAAAAAATTTCATAATTGTCTAAAAATTTTTTTATTCTCTTAAAAGGTTCTCAAGACATAGAGAAATATGCAAAAAGTGAAATTTAGAGGTTCTATCTTTTGACAGATATACTGACTAAATTATTGGATTTAATTTTTCCACATTGTAGCCGAACTACTATTCTGAGAGTCAAAATTAACCATAAAACCGGGTGTTTTATTCAAAGAAAGTTCCTTTTTTAGGCTGATTTCATAACTAAAAAAAATTGTCAGCTCTAGTTAATTAGAATATTAGGCCTAGTTAATTAGATAAGTTATCATTATGTAGTAAATTAGGTTACACCATTGAGCTATTAAGATCGAGCCATAGTATGTAAAAATTTTATCATTGGATCAAAAGATATTGAAGGTGTTAATTTTTTCTTGAGCACTGTATATTCCCTAGCAAATATACCTTGCCCTAAGTTGGGCTCAGTACGGGTCCTATATGAACATGCTCCGAGGGACCAATATTGGGATGTCTAGATTTCTTAATATTGGTCCTAGGTAGTGTCAGCCTCTGTAGGGCCAATATTGGCTAAATAATGATTGTAAAATATCGATTGAATCTGACAATTTCATGTAGGTCTGATATTGGTTTTAAAGTGACAGTAAAATATCGGGAGAATCGGACAATTTTACATAGGGTCCATATCGGAAAAATATCCGCCCTTTGAACCCTTATTGAGCTAAGATTTGCGAATATTGGTCTAGTGAGGGCCCAAGTTATTATGCTGCTAGGGTTAATTAACTATTATATTTACTTTTAAATATATCATTTTTAGAAAGAAAATTGCATAGAATTCAATTAATAGACATAAATCACATTTAATTCACTTTCCCTTATATTCATACATAACATACATGTGCAGAAAAAAAGTTAGTACTAAGTTAAATTACCTTTGTTATGATCAAGGAATTCTTCAGTGAAAATTGGAATATCAAACCCTGGTGCTTCACTATCATGATGAGCTTCGTTCATAGGCTACATGGAAACATTTAAAAAATAAATAAACAACCTGAATTCAGAAACATTGAAAAAAAGGAAAGAAAAACTTAGGATATAAAAATTTTTGCTATCTATAAGGTTACTCAAAGAGCCAATTTTTTAGGCCGTTAGTTGATATAAAATACAAACTTTATATGGCAGATTTCTAGTCATTTACAAATTAAATATAAAAAAGAAACCTTTAAACATCTAACAATTTGCTTATTATCTAAATCTAATCTAAGCTCTTTAATCTAATTTTATTTTTGATTCAAACAAGATAAATATGTTCTTGGACATAAATTATTGTACAGAAAACAGATTGTAAACTGTGTAAAATTTTTATATCATATTTTAACATATGCAAGGTTCCCACTTAATTTTAAAATAATTGACATGTCTAATTATAATCCATAAAGCAATTGTAACTAAATCATTTTGAATAGATTAAAATTTCTTATAGATATTACTTTGAACCCAATTGGATACTTATTGTTAAAATGAAATCATATTTTTCCAAAATCAAATCGAATCAGCGCCTTGTCCATGTGAGAACCATTAATATGTTATAGAAAATTTAAGTGCAGCATTTGTCTGTACTTTATTTTTTAGGAAACTAAAGATTAAAATTAAATAAAATATTTGTGCATAAAATTTTCATGGAAAATTATTAAAAAATACATCAAAACAAAAGACAGTGGATATAATGTTTTAAAAATTATGCTCTATATTAATTTTTGAAATATTAAAGATAAATGACACACAACTAAAGAGTAAAAATATTTCTTTTTTAAAAAAAGGTAAAAAAAATATTAACATTAAAAACATTAACATTTAAAAATGAAGCAAAATTTGTTTGAAATAATGAAGAATATAAACAGGGAGTGATGTAAGCAAACACATTTGTTTATTATCAATCAACTTTTGTTTAATTCTTACAGATTGTTGTTCCATATAGGGTAATCCAGGCTTCAGAAATCTAGGATCTTCCATCTGTCAGCATGCAATAAGATTTTTTAACATTAGCACTAATGGCTTTTAAACCACATGTTTCATTTTCATATGATTAAACTTCAATTAGCAAAAAAAATTACATATGAAACCTCAGAAATTTTAAAAAACATTTAACATTGCAATATATAATGGTAAATGTACATAATAGTGAAGAGAAAACAACTAATAAAATATTTTATTGCATCTTGAGATTCGACACAGTTAATTTGTTAGCAATGTCAGAAAATTATGAAAAACTAGTTATTCATCCTTCATATTTTGTTTTCTCATCAGTTTTTCTACCTTTCGTTTTCACATCAGACATAGTTTATAGTACTGTTTAATTTTCTTAATTTAAGTGCATAAGATTTTTTTTTTAATCTGAAGTTTAGTCCAGTACAAACAAGTTGGATCCATGCGTCACTAAATGCAAATTAAATTGCAATAATCAAATTTTCATGAAAGCTGTTGTTTAAATGTGTCTAAGAACTTAAATAAAGCAAGCTAAAAGCAGTTTAAGATTTATAAACATTTTATGTGTAAAAGTAACTGCACAATTACAGCTAAATCTTTATAATCAGATTAACAAATAATATTTTAAACAATTAATATACAGACATCAAAAATAAACTATGATCAAAATATATAATTTTTTACAATAAAGACAATTTAACTTTATTATTATTTTCACGAAATATATTTTTGCATTATTTTAGATACTCTGATTAAAAAATGAATTAAAACAATTTTCAATGGAAGAAAAGGAAATATGGACATAAAAATAGTTATGGACTTATAATTTAAACAGAAAGCTATATTTTGTAGTTACACAATGGTTAATTTGCCATAAATACTTTTTGAAAAATATTACAAGAAATTATTTTATTGCATGAGAAATGGAAATAGGCACTAAAATATAGAAACATTTTTAAAATACGGCAAATTTTTAGTTCACCTATGCTTATTTTTTGTTGTAAAAAAGAGAAAGTGTGTTCTTACTCAAACAACAAGATTTAACCACTGACTTTTTTAAAAATTAGTTTTTAAATATTAATCACAAAATATTATAATAGAGGAAAAAATTATAACAAACAAAAAGATCTATATAATAAATGATTTAAAAGAAAGATAAATTATAAGTTTCCCGAATTTCCACAAAATAATGTTTCAGTACATTTAAATGAAGCTGTAAATTTTTTTTCTTCAAAACATTTAATCTCTGGTATAAGAATTTTTTAAAAATGATTTTCCTACCTCAACATTTGACGATGTATAATAAGAACCATCTCCATCTTCATATTCTAAAGAAAAAAAAGGAGTATATTTATAAAATGTTTCAGAAATGTATGTTTTTTTGCCTGATTTTATAATTTAATAATATTATCTGACAAATTAACATATTTAAGGTTGATTTGCCTCAAAACATTTAGATTGTATGTACATGAAAATCGATCATTACATCAAAAATAATTAAGATATTCAATATTGAGTTCAAAAATTAATACAATGCTTTTTCTCTTCTTTTACACACTGAAAGACACTTTCTTTTGCACAGCAAAAATAAATAAATAAATAAAATAAAATAAAAACAGAAAATATATAAAAGCCTAGTAAATAAAGAAATATCTTATGTTAAGTAAACAAAAAAAGAATAGTGCAGACGTAAAAATTTTACAAAATCTGGTAAAAATAGAAAAATATTATACAAACCTTTTCGCTTTTTCTCTTGCTGTTTCTTGAAAATTTTATAAGCCTCTGTTTGTTGATACTGTTCTAATTCTTTCATATAACGTTCTTTATCTTTTTCTGCTTCTTCAAGATATTTCTAAAAAATAAATTGACAAGTCTTACATACAAGTTTAAACAAGCTCAAATGCCTTAATTTAATTAAAATAAGATGATTTACATATAAATATAAAATTATATAAAAATATTAATTATATAAATTTTTTTTGGTTTATAACATTAGTAAGTTGATGTATACAGAACATTTGTAACTCATTATCTCATAGAGTCGACATTGGTACTTTCGTAGGACAGATGTTGGTCTATTCTTGTTCAGTGTATGATTAGCAAGTTTTTTTTTTTTTGGTTAATGGCGGGCACTTGGGTCTATTTCCCATTGGCCTCAGAAATACCAAAATTGCTACTCTCTTATTGTTACCCAATGAGCATGGCTAAGCCAAGGCGGTGGAGTAGCATTGCCCATGTCATACAACCACAAACCCGTAATGATTAGCAAGTGATATATGACTTCGTCAACAAGTTTTGAAACTAAATTAAGAAACCATCTAAAGGATTGAAGATAATTTAAGACACTTTCCTTAATATTCATAAAAGAAAAGAAAAAAAAAACAATCTTAAATTGAACTTTCTCTGTAGAAAAATTTATAAACAAAACCACCAAATGATGGATCTCATGATATATATTTACAAAATTTCCATAACTAAGATACTAAAATGCTCATAATACTAGGTTTAACAACTTAAACAATATTAGAAATTTAGTTTTCCATTCCAGAGTTGCCACTCTAATCTGGAAAAAAAAATTCCCTGTGTTTTCCCTGTAGATATTATACAAAATATATTAAGAGGAAACACACTATCACTGCACTTTTGTGTGACCTATATTGAACTAACTATACTAAATTTAATTACCGGAGAAACTTAGAGAAAAAAGGTACAGCTGAACATATTTAAAACAAATAATGCTAGAGTAAATTAAATAGTTTAGTACAGCTGAAATATCATCTTTAAATATGCCATAGATTGGGCTTTGAGTGGTCACCATTTTTTAAAAGATGAAAATAAGAAACAAAATTCCCTGTATTTTTCCAGTTTGTAAAGAAAAACTAAACAATTCCCTGTTATTTCAGGTGATTTTTAAATTCCCTGTTCTCCCTGTGGAGTGGCAATAATTCATATAAGGAAATTGACTCTCAATTTAACTATCTTTGCAGTGGATTTATATACAAAAGCATTGACGGATGAATTTTTCATGTTAGGTAAAATGTCTAAAACTTTTTAAATATTGTTATTGTCCATAAGCTGCAAGTAAATAAGTTCAAAATGTAGAGAAAACATGGAAAAAATAACAGAACAATGAAAAAAGGGAAAAATAATAATCATAAAAATAATAAAAATCTGGAAATCAAAAGATATGATCTTATTAAGAAATATTAAGATTATATTTCCCCCCCTAATTTTTATTATATTATTTTCTTTTCTTCTGTAATTTTCCCCATGTTTTCTCTATATTTTGAGCACTACTACTGAAAAAAAACTCACAAGAGGTTCAAATAGTTGGGAGTTTTTAAGGAGCCTAAATAATGTTATGTCATGTATTTTTTTAAAGTATCGTGTTGATCATCAAACATACGTTGAGCTTATTGTGAGTGACAGTGAACTTTTTAATTTATATAAAGTTATCATTAGTCTACTATTTACTGTAGCTGTATTACAAACTTTATAACCTTAGGCAAAAAATAAATAAATAAAATACAACAAATTATTTAATTTTAACCTACCTGTTTTTCTGACACTCCTAACTTACTCCAATCACATGCAAGTATTTTAGTGACCTCAGAGAAACTGGCACCTGGATTTTCACCCCTGACCTTTTCTCGATTTTCATTTAAATATCGCACATATCCGGTAAGAGGCTGCTTAGGTGCATTCATATCCCTTGGGCCACGCCTTCGTTTTCTACCTTTTGGCCAGCCACCCCTTCGTTTCTATGAAAAAATAACATTTTTTTTTTAATTAAAAGCATCAAACATTTTTGTTAAAACAATTTGATAGCAAGGCAAATCCAATAAAAATTTTTTTAAGAGAGGCATTATACAGTAAATTCTAGACGAATAACAAATACTTAGCCAACACTTTGCCATAAGGGCATTCCATAATACAAAGGACAACATAATAAAAAATAAATATTCAATAGCATTAAAGCAAAAAACGTGAATAAAGCCCAAATGGACATGCTATAGTTTCAGTTCCATAAACAAGAACCTTCCTCATTGTCTAAATCCTAAATGGAGGTAGAAAAGTATAAACATGAAAAGTAAAGTAGAAAAGTGAAGATATGTGTAAAGTGGTTTAACAACTAGGAACAGAATTTACTTTTCTACCTTCATTTCACATTTAGACACTTAGGAAGGTTCTTGTTAATGGAACTGAAACTATAGCATGTCCATTTATGTACTTTCATTTGTGCTTTATTTCCGTTGCATTTTGCTTTAGTCTACATAGAATAACCTATACTTTTTTTGGATATTTAACAGCCTCTCCCCATTTTCAAATTTCTTAGTTTTTTTATTAACTATTTTATGTATATTTTTTTAAAATATAGTTCGTATTTGAAACATCAGTTTTAAAAAAATAACATCAGCCACAAGAGCTTTTTTTATATGTCATTTCATGTTTACTTTCAATGTTTCCTGTTAATTTGATGTTTTTTTTAAACTAAATTTCAAAACAAATAGATATCAAATAAAATAATTGCATATAGAAGGAGGATAATTTTTTACATAAAAATATGTTTTACTTCATGTCCTTCTTATGTAACATAAGCCATATTTTATATTTTTATTCTAAATAAAATATTTAGAACTTTCATCTTTGATATGCATAATAATATTAGGCTACTGAATGCATAATATTAGGCTAGTGAAATTTTTTAATTAAATAATAATTTTTAAATATCTTGTAAAGAAAATAAAACTAATTAATTTATATTTTAATTTATTTAATATTTTTTATATGCATAATAATATTAGGCTATTAGAAATCATCCCATATAATTTTAAAAATAAGATATAATACTAAATTTAAAGATAGTCGCCACGGAATTGGCCATAAGTGAAGATTTATCTTTGTCCAAAGCTAAATATTTCAGTACAAAATATTTCATTTTTGTAAAAAAAAAAAAGAAAAAAAAAGACAAATTTTTTTGATTAAATAATTTTTAAAGATTTTGTAAAATAGATTTTAAGTAATTTTGTACCATTTTATATTTATACTTAATGTGTGCATTTATTTAAACCTGGATGAAACTTATTCAAATCGATCTTTGGTCTTCTACCAATCGCTCAACAAATAGACTTCATGCTTATTTTTATATTTTCTTAGTTTATGTCAAACAATTTAGAGTAACTTAAGAGGAATAATCTTAAGTTTTCATTAAAATATTGGCACATGATAAAATTTAACATTTGTAATTTTTGAAGATGTTAAAGTGTTAATATAATATCTGCACTATCTAAAACTGCAAAAACTTATATCGAGCATTTCGACTTAAGAATATAATTTTAATTGTATTAGTATACTAAGTAGTTAAAAATTATAAGGCAATGTTTAATTGCTGTGCAATGCTTTCTCAAAAACAAAAGTTAGCATACACGTCCTGTCCTGTATGAAAAACAATTTCATTATCTACAATTTTGAAAAAACATCATATTTTATAACTTTAAACATATTTTGACAGGCTATGATTATTGTCCCACCTATATGTGTTATTTAAATGCAAAGTTTTTAAAGCATTGTCCTAAAATCATTACTATGGATGAATCCTCAAGCGGATGCCAATCACACATAACCTCTTTACAATAAAATTTCATAAAACTGAAATTATCTATCACAGAAATATATTTACTTCAACTAGGTTAGAATCTTGATCAGTATTCATTGACATGTTGCTTTCAGTTGGATTAATATCTAAAAGGAGGGGAAAAAATAGGGAAATAACAATTAAAGGATTATCATATATAATATTCAATGTAAAATTCAATTTTTGTTAAAAAAATATGCACAGTGAAAATAAAAACCTGAAAAAGCTGTGAATTATTTTCACATTTCGCATAAAATAATTATTATTGCCAAGAATCACTCATTTAATTTAAGAGTGCGCAAAAATTTCGTATTTTGAAAAAATTACAGATTTGAGATGAAACTCTACCAGCTAAAGCATGGCATTAATTGATTATTCAAAAGTGAAATTTGGAATTTATGGATCATAATACTATTCTATGAAAAATGAGATCAACATTTTAAAATCTATGTGAAAATCCCAAACCGTTGAAATGGTGATCGACAAAACCGCATGAACTATAAAATTGTCACAAATCGAGCAATCAAATAGTAATTCTACAAACGCGCGATTCGAAATTTCCTGTGTATGATAATGAAGCATAAAAAAAACTATGAAAATCAGTAACCATTCTCGCTGAAAACGCGAGATTGCAGGTAAATCGTGAATAATTGAGTGCAAAATGCATGATTTGAAATTTGTCGATCAAAATAATATATTAAAACAATCAAATTTTAAAAACGAAGTGGAAATCTGCTTTAATAGCTACCGAAAAAAAAAATCAGCAAAACCATGCGGGTTTAGTGTAAAATCTTCGCTAATATAGTAGACTGGAAATGATTACTAGTTGAAATGCGTGACTCGGAATTTGCATCGAGATTTTAAAAACCATGTGGAAATCTATAACAAAATCTTTCAAATTAGTGCAATTACGTGGAATCATTCGTTGTTTATTGAAATTGGTGTTAATTATAGGCTATTTATCACTCTTAATAGAATTAGGATGTTTCGATATTTGCTTACCTTATAGACCTATTATCAGGAAAAATCTATTTTCCGGATTGGATTCAGGATATGGGACTTTCATTTGTATTTTAAATTAACTTAATGGTTCATTTAGCTTTGTTTATGTGGATTTCACTTCATCTTATAACTAAAAAATGTGAGGTAGAGAAAATTAATTAAAATATAAAAGATATAATGATGCGAGACTTAAAAAATATATTCAATATTTACAAAATTTAAATAGATTATATCAATGCGCTAAATCTTATTTCAAATAGAAAATTTAAATTTTCCAGCTCTTAGTTTTATTAAACATTTCAGAGATATTGTCCTTTATTCAACAAAAAGAGGATATTTCCGTATCGTGATCTGTCGCGCCAACTACAATCGCCAAGGTGCCAAATAGATCTTAAACTTGCAAATTTTTTAACAAAAATACATGCAGATGTTATAACTAAGAGTTATACCTTTCGAGTTGGTCCCTTCCTGTGATGATTTTTTTTAAAGTTTCTTGCGGGCCACTGCCCCGAAGTTTCCAAGACTTGGTGATAATTCTGCCACAGATCACGATACAGAAGTCCCCCCCCCAAAAATATAAGTAGATAGATAATATTTATAAATCTTCCATTTTTTACCTTTAAAATACCTTGTTTTCTAAAAATTATTTATTTTGAATTTTTTGGTTAACGCTTTCACAGAATTGCCCACATACTAATCAAGAAATAAATAAATTCACAAGATCAATCCAATTGGATTATTTATAATTAATACAAACCTGATGGTAATGGTGCACTTAAACTGGTATGAGAACTGCCATTATTACTAGGAGGAGCAGTGAGATTTTCTCCCTGCATAATTAAGTGCTGAAAAAGTAAAATTAAAATGAGATATCATTGTACTTTGTTTTCACATGCATATTTAATAACTCCAATAATAAAATAGCTGAGTTGAAGAGGATAAAAACTAACAATATTATGAAAACAAATAACACAATTGGAAAACATACACAAACTATATAAAATTTTCTATTTTTCTACACTAAACAGTAAGAAAAATTTTGATAGCAATAAATATACTTTATTTTTTTTTAAGAATTTTTCTAATATGGAAACATAAATGGAATTTAATCCTCAAATATATATATTATAAAATTGTTAATTTGTATTCATGCAACCAAGCTATTATGAATATTTCCCCTTTAACTATTAAGAAAAATTTTTTGATTGATTGTTTATAAATAAATGACACAAAATTTCTTAAATTTTGCATACTTATAAGATAAGTGCTAATCTCTGAAAATGACATTAATTACAAATGGAGTAAAACAATTAACTAAAGGAAAATAAAACAAAAAATCTGTGAACAATGAATAAGAGAAATGAAATTGAAAATCATATTTCCCTTTAGAGAAAACAAAACGAAGTATATAAAAAATATGTTAACAAATGCAAAATAAGTAAGAATAAATGCATTTATCATTGTTTTTTTTTATTTACAATCTACGTTTGTTGGTTATTAACTAAAGATTTTAATAAATATTAAATAATTCAAAATGAAATCATTTGAACATTCCAACGTTTACCCGCATCTTTAATTTAAACTACTAATAAGCTATGAATTCAATGACAAAGAATTATACAAGCGTCTGCGGTGAGGTTGTTTACTTCAAAAAATCAATAACAATATGGCCGCAATATAATTTAGATTTATGCGCATGAGCAATGGTAATTTTATGAATAAAAGTATTTTGAATGTTAGTTACTTTAAATTAATAAAATGTTTAATCACTCCACCGAATTAATTTGTTTATATTGTTATAATTTTAAAATTTCAAGCGTAAAACAAGAAAACAACAAAACATCAGGTTGAAATTCTTAATTCAACTGATTGCACTGAGAAAAATTTAGCACGTTCTTTGTTCGTGTAATAAGACGCTAATATATGTGCTGTGTGCATAATAAAACTTTTTCAACTGAAAAAATTCGAACGGTTGACTAAGAACCTAATTAATAATATTACGAATCTATATCCAATGGCTTTGAAGGTGTTGCCATTTCAGTTTTTGTTAAAGAAGCTTTCAACTGCATGGGACTGACGCGGTAATAATATCTGTTCACACTATTCACGCATCTCCGATTGCTTTCAAGGAAGAATGAGAATCTGATTGGTGAAAAATATTTGCCATCGAAAAATTCACCAATCGGGTTCCCTATATTTCTTCCCAGTGATCGGAAGGGCACAGACCACATTCAATGAGAATAGCTCGCAAAGAATGTTTTGCTTATTTAAAAATAATTCTTCTATTTTTACTTACTTTTCATTCGTTTTCTTTTTTGAATTTGTTAATGCATTTAAATTAACATAATTTTATTTGCATACATTTTCTTACATGCATTTCTGTTTTTCTAACTCTCTCTTACACAGCAAATATTTTTTTAATAATAATTTTGTATAATCTATAAAATCTTAGTCAGAACAATTGCAACCATTACTTGTTTGAGATAAATATGTTACTTTGAACAACATTTTTGTAATGAAATGCAAGTAAAGTTTATAATTGTAATTGTTATTTCGAGTAAGACTTCTTTACAGAATTGAAGTATTTATTAACAATATAAACAAGAAGAAGTTCACGCAAGTACACATTTTAAACATGCGAAAAGAAGAAAAAATGATTTACTCTGCATATTAAAGAGAAGAAAAACCTTGAATTTGTTGAAAAAAGCTTGCAATCATTGACGCCCGAGATGAGAATCATTGATCATCATTGCTAGCATTGACGGAGCGAGAAAATATTTTCTCGCTCCGTCAGTGATATATCACTGAAAATACTGGGGCTCTAAACTGTTCAGTATAGCAAAGCAATGATCGCTAAAAAGTATGAAGCTACTACAATCTATGCTAACGTCCCGTTTTAAAATCCTACTATGAGCTACTAATCAAAACTACCCTCAGTCATGCTATGCAACTTTATGGCAATCTTGTGTCTGAGTTTTTTTATTACTTTTTTTATACTGTCATGAAAAGGTTTGCGGTAACAACCTTTTTCCGATTAAGAAAAAGCTTTGATCGTTATTTTAAATCTTTCATTCTAAAAGGATAAATAAATAATTATTAAAGCTTTTTTTTAAAAAATATTGTTTCTCACGTTAAAAAATAAACAAATGGTAAATCTTGTTTTTGTATTTTTTATTGTTTGCCATGATAAGGTAAGCACTGTTTACATTTATATGAAATGATTATATGAAATGTGATTTTATTGACCTTGCGCACCACAAAGGTACTCAGAACGAAAACTTTTTCCAAGAAAAATAAAAAAGGCAAATACCAACCTTTTCCAAAATAATGCTAATGAATAAGGCCCGGATTTTGATGACATTTGCATTTTTTTGCATTTTTTGTCTTTTAGAGCCTTTTTTTAGGTTTATAGGACATTTTTCTTTAAATTTCGGGGCGTATTTTACATTTTAATGCATTTTTTAAAGTTTTTTGTTAATTTTTTCCAATTTTTATTATTTTTTATCAATTTTCATTATTACACTGGCTTCCAAACAATGAAGAAAATCTATAGAATATTAACAGGTGAAGCAAAATCTTTTCAAATTGAAGAAGAATTGTCAGTAAGTGAGACCGTCTTTTTCAAGTACGCACCTATAACATCAGTAGACGTTGAAAGAAGCTTCTGCAGGAATGAAAATTTACTTTCAGACAAGAGACGCTCGTTTACATTTCAAATTATCAAAAAACATTTAATAATCCAATGTAATTCTGATATTTAGTAATATTATGAGATGGAAGTTGTTATATCCATTAAAGTTTCTATACAAAATAAAAATATTTTGGTGTCAATATATTTTCCTTTTTTTGTTATTTTAGGATATAAAACATATTTTTCAAACTTTAATGAACGTAGAACAAGTATTGCATTGCTTTATATTTTTTAAATGACTCATAATAATTTTAAAGAGCAAAACATTTTTTTAATTCAATATTTTTACTTTATTTAAGGCATTTTTTGCGCAATTTTTGCATTTTTAAGGGCATTTTTTGCACTTTTTAAGGGCATTAGTTGAGATTTTTTAGGTCATCAAAATCCGGGCTCTACTAATGAATAATAATTCATCAATAATGCAAACATAAAATTTGTTTTAGGATTGTTTTCTAAGGTCCTACGAAAGTACTATTAGAAAAGCTTCTCTTTAGGTTTTCACTAGTCATAGTCACCGATTAAATTTAAAAATTTCGGAAAATATTTTTGTTGCACCTGAATAATCTGGTCAGCTGCCTTATACCGTGATACTATATGGATTTTCGAGTTTTGCCTTTTTAAGAAAATGTGTTTACAACAAATACGATTATTCATTTTTTATTATAAGTTTTTTATTCCTACAATTTTATATAAAAAATTTGTGAAATTTGTTAAAAAATTCAAGTTGAATCTTCATAAATTTTAAAATTGTTTTACAAATTTTATTTTACGCATTACAGGTATTATATTTACTTTATGCAGTTCCTTCAAAATGCATGGCTATGGCTTTCACCTATTCTTACTCCTTTTACCTTATTACAGTATAGTTATATATAATATTCACAACAAGACATTTTTAATTAAATTACAAAAGGAATAGGGATTTATTTCACTTTTTATTTTCATGAAAATTTCTGAACCCATTATGAGCCAAGAGGATAGGGGTCATGGAAATTAAAGCTCCACGATTTCGTGACCAACGACATGACGGTGACAATAGGGTCTGCATTGGGCACCGATCACCTTTATTTCCCAGACAATCTGATACAAATCGATCTGAAGCTGGGTGGACTCCAAAATGCAACTCCCATAGCCTTTTCCTTCATCCCTCTGAAATTAATGGCTCGAACATTTTGTACACAATCATAAAACTAGCTCTACATACTTTCACTGACATTAATATGCATTTTTGGGATTAATTTTCTGTAAGTAATTTATTTTCATGTAATTCTATGGTCGTAAACACAAAAAGTACAGATAGCTAACCAGATTCGTGTATTTCTCATGGTCTGCCCGACCACTAGTAGTGAAGTGAAATGACCCATGCTGCTGATTCATCATGGTATCAGAGATCTCATTGACTTAGATTTAACAAAAGAGATTCCATGTAAGCAAATGTGGGCCATGTAAGCATATTATCGAAACAATCTTTCATTAAATCAAGATTGTTTTGATATTTGACCCATACATTTCATTGCTCTCTAGGTTGGTCTCAAAACTCTAAGGTTGCTGTCAAGCTATCATGTAGAAGTACTTTTTGAAGTATCACCTATTTTGGATATCGCTTATATAAAATATAGATTAAAAGTATTTTAAAAGTTTTTAATTTTGTATTATCCAATTTTGATGGAGAATTGGAGGCAATTAGAATTGCAACAGAACAAATCAGGGTTAGATCAGTTCAGATTGACAACATAGTTATTTTTTCAGACTCTCTATCAGCCATCCAGGCTATTGCGGCACATAATGTTGCAGAGTCAAATATTATTGACTCCTGCAGAAGAAATATTAATCTCCTAGCTTCTGAGGGAAGGACTGTTGTTCTGCAGTGGATTCCATCTCATGTAGGAATAAATGGTAACGAATGGGCTGATACATTAGCAAAGAAGGGAGCAGAGATTTTGCAGGCAGGTAATGCCAAAGTACCATTTTCATCAATTATAAGAATTATAAAAAACACTGTGAAGAAAAGCTATGATGCTAATTTAGTAGAAGAAATCAAGAATAAGAAATGGAGGTATTCAATTAATAAAATTCCAAACTCCCCTAGATCCACTGCAGTGGCGGCGTTCCGCCTGGAGACTGGACATGACTGCCTTGCTAAACATCTATACAGAATTGGTATATTTGGCAGNTGCTAATTTAGTAGAAGAAATCAAGAATAAGAAATGGAGGTATTCAATTAATAAAATTCGAAACTCCCCTAGATCCACTGCAGTGGCGACGTTCCGCCTGGAGACTGGACATGACTGCCTTGCTAAACATTTATACAGAATTGGTATAGTTGGCAGTCCTATGTGCACTTTGCGCAACCAGAACTTTGAGATGGACAAAGATCATTTGCTCAGTTGTTCTTCATTAAATGAAGAGGATTTATTCAGTCGATATTGGCGAGCTAGGGAGTTGGTGCAATTGGTATCCAGCGACTGATTCTCGTTCATGTTTAAGTGGTTCACGTTTTGCAAGTATTTATTATTATTGTTCTTGTTATTATATTGTTCTTGCATTGTTCAATGGTTCAGTTTTTGTTTTATATGCTCCAATCTCATGCATCTTCGATTCATGGGGGCCAACAATGTAAAGTCAAGTGCTTTTGCAATAAAAAAAAATGGTATTATTCAATTATAACTAGGTCTCCACACATGTTTGAATTATTTGTACGTCGAGGTTAAAAGATAATCTTAAAACACTCATTCAGTCACCAGTATGAAATTTGTCCTAATGCCTTTTCCGAAGTCTTGTATGCTCAGCTAAAATCCACCTCGTCTTGAAATTTTAATGGACAATGCAATTTGATCCGATCGCTATAGTGTGACGTCAGCTAAAACGTCATTATGGATGTGAGCTTTGCTCGCTCATTGAATACGTTCTTAACGTCTAGCTTTTGTATACTTTTTTGAACACTGAAGTTCCGAGAACTTTTCACTGTAGAAAATTCTAAACCTGTGCATTTCAATATTAATTTGAAATTGAAAACAGTTCACATATTTTTCTTAACCGCACCATTCTAAATTTCAGTTGTTGAGAAAAGTAACTTTTGTAAGTTTTGTTTTAAAGTCTTTCCCACCAGAGGGCTAAAACCATGTGTTGTAAAACAATATGAAATAGTACTGAACGCCGGATGTAAAGCATCGGCTTCGATGAAGATAATTTTGTGAGAATTTTTTTGATAATTCGGTGAGAATTCACCTGATTAGACATATGATAT